TTTCAAAATACTTTCAAACTTACACCCATCACAAACACATTTTCAAACAAAGCAACTTTCAAATGATCTAGCAAGCAACTAAGATCCCGTAGATAACTACGGATGAAAAGGATGTTAACACCTTCCCTTTTCATAACCTACCCCTCGAACTCAAGAAAGAATTCTCAAAGGTCTTTCATGTTCTTATCACCCTTTCCTTTATTGGATAAAGGAAAAGTCGATGGTGACTCTTGCTATCCGCAACAATTGCGATAAAACGTAAAACACCCAAGTCAGTTTTCCCGTCGTATTACAGTCTCCAAGACACGGGATCCATAATTCCCACCAGCATTAGGCGGATGTTGCACAGCCTGAGCAATAACCTGCAAAGTAGCAACAATCGCTGCATCGTTTCTTCTAGAAATTCTACACACAAGAAACTAACGTTAGAAAACAACGTATTGACAATGCACTCACACTAATCGACCGGCGGGACATGTACCCCATAAGAAAACTTGGTCGAACGAACCGACCTGCTCTGATTACCACTAATGTAACATCCTTCTAAACCCACATATATTTCACATATAATTTACGAAAAATAATTCAAATAAAACCACCAAGGGTGTTACATCTTCATATAAAACATCTTGCTGTAACAAGGGTTTTGAAAATCAATTATAACAAATGCTTCATGAATAACAACAATGACATTTCAACTTCTCATAGCGAAATTCATAGTTTCAAAATACTATTATTAAGATACTTCATAGAAACTTCATCATGCTCATCGTTTACAATTCATAAGTCAAATAACTTCGATATCATGAAAGGTTGTTCAAAATCTCAAAATAAAAGAAATAACATAATCATCCAAAAAATGACCTCAACCCCAATGTTACATATCAGAGCAAGACCACTATCATTAACGGAAATAAATAAAGCACTTTGAAGCTATCCTTTAAGCTTCAACGAACTATTCCTGATTACCTGCAAGTTACCCATGTATCGAGGCAATATTTCCAAGCAGAAAAGGTAAGTAATCATAAATTATTATAAAAGATATATGGAATATATATAGTAGTACAACAACAAATCATCATGGAATCTACATATCATCATATTTCATATATTATACTCATACCTTCGCATCATCAATACACATCAATTATATCATTATATCATCACATCAACATCTATCATCAAACACCGCCAAAATTACAACATTGTCAACATAACTTAATCAATCATTATACAATGTCACATATAATGCAATGCAACATCATTGGCTCATGCATGTGGTACCAAAACTTCACTGATGACCAAGTCATCTTCCTCCAAAAATCCCCACCATAGGATCGATTCCCGCTTGAAACCAGAGCACTTCACAAAATTTAACTCAATCCACACCATGGTATTAAGGTCATCACTAGACTAATGTCCTAACAATCATCCTTGGACAAACGTCCTAACATCACTGGGCTAATTCCCTAACATATGTCATGAATGCATGATGCACGACAACATAATACTCACGACCACTGCTAGTCAAAACGCATCATCATCATCCATGAATTCATCAGAATATCATCACATACATCATAATATACATGACATCATCATGACAACATTAATCCATCATACAAACATACATCATGTTACATCAATGGCATAATCACATTGATTAATCATAGTATCATCACAGTTCATCATTCAAAGATATAGTTTAATCATATCAAGGTACTAGAAATATACATCATTTTATTCATTTTATTCCCCCTACATATGGTTCATCGTGTTATTTATCCAACGCTTCGAATGACGCGTCAAACGGAGTCTAGAAACTCAAGTTATGGCCTTTACAAAATTTTCACAAGCAGTTCTGCTCGCTATTACCTCGCCTGATACTCTCCAGTGACACAGAGGCGACGGGCTCTCGCCTCTTGATCGCCCGACGAGGCTGGAGCGAAGCTCCTCCTCCCATACATTTTCTAGGAGCACCCCTTTTTCACCCATTCTTTCGCTTCTTGTCTCGCCCGGCGAAGACCAGGCGAAATTGCTTCGCCCGACGACGCTTGCCTCGCCTGGCGATGCATATCAGACAGCAACTCTCTGTTGCAATTTTGTACCTGTTCAGTCCCAAATTCTCTTGCGATTCCATACCAGTGATAGTCCAAATTCATTCCAATTCAACATGTTTTCATTATAAAACAACAATACAACCTTATAGGCATCAGGTGCATCAAATCATGGCAAAACAACATGGTATTTTCATCAATTTCATCATAAAATCTCAAACAACCTACATAAATATAAACCCTATATCAATCATAATAACAAGGATAACCCACTGACATTAGACTCTCCTGGCAATCGATTCTTGTTCCAAGTGCTATAGATGGTTCTCTCTCTTTTTTTCTCTTTGTGTCCTAGTTCTTCACATCGTTCTTCTCTCTTTCACAATTGCACAGAATGAAACAACAACACTCATTTTTCCTTGTTTAATCCTTGGACCCTTTCTATGGTCTTCCCATCTTACCCTCGTTAATTCTCATAAAATTATCACCTTGCCCTTAACGCTTCTACACCATTTATTTTATTAATAATAATAATTCTAAATAATTAAAACTAATTATTTAAAATTACTAAAACACCCAATATCACTAAATTTTCACTATAGCATACATAACATCACATCGCACATCATATTCACCAAAATATCACATATACTCACAAATATCACAAATACTCATCATAAATCAATTAAATAATTAAATAAACAATCTGATTATTTTTGGAGTGTTACAGGAAGCACCGCAATTGCAACAGGTATACAACTTGATGGTTAAGGACTAGATGTATCCTAATTGTAAACAATGGGACCAAGATAAGATAAGTCAGTTGTTTTCTATTGAAACTGCTAATCACATTTTACAGGTTTCTATTTTGGAAGAAGCTACGAAGGATGTTATAGTTTAGAAGGAGGAAAGGAATGGAATTTTATAGTGTTAAAACAGGTTACAAACTGTGGTGGAAGCATTTACACAAGTTTAAAGAGACAATGTCAGATGGTGACTGGGGGAGTTTATGGAGAATCAAAGTTCCGCCAAGAACCAAACATCTCCTCTGGCATTTATGTTGAGGTTGTCTTCCTACTAGAAGCAAGCTTCGACAACACTATGTCCCTTGTCCCACTAATTGCCAATTGTGTCATGCTGACGGGGAAAAAGATTGGCGTATTTTCTTTGGTTGTCCGAAAAACTCTTAGTTGTTGGTATTCTGCAGGTCTTGATCATATTATTAGACCACGTCTAACGCTTATGAATGATGTGCGGAAGGTGATCCAAGACATTAGTAGTAGGGAGGATGATAAGGTTGCAGGGAGGGTAGCGGTGGTGATGTGGGTGTTGTGGAATTATATAAATAATTATATTTGGTATGAGAAGCAGGATGCTAATCAATTAGGTATACAAGGGTATTATGTGTGGAAAGATTGGTTTATGGCCCAAGATTCAAATGTGGTTGACGATAATAGGCTTCAGTATCATACAATTTGGCAACCTCCCTAAGCAGGTATGTTGAAATGTAATGTTGATGCGGGTTTCAATGACCACTTGAGAATGACTAATACAAGTTGGTGTATAAAGAACTGCTTTGGTGAGTTTATGTTGGCAGGTACTCCGTGGGATAAGGTATGTTATTCTATTGTGGAAGCGGAGGCGTTGGCTTTGAAGGAAGCGATCCTAACAGCAATCCAGTTGAATTTGCATCATATTACTTTTGAAAGCGACTCCCAAATAGTAGTCCAAGCATTGAATGTTATTTTCTCAGGTAATTCGGAATATAGTTTGATCATCTCTAGTATTCATAATCTTCTAGTTTCTCAAAATGACTTTGAGATCAAGTTTGTAAAACGTCAAGTAAATTGTGTAACTCATAATTTAGTTAGGAATTCTTGATCAAGTAAATTGTGTAACTCATAATTTAGTTAGGAATTCTTGGTATCGACGCATGGTTCTTCATTCGAATCCTCCTTATATTGAACAATTTTTGGTTAATGATGTAAATTGAATTTTCTTGTCAAAAAAATGAGGCATCAATATTACAAAATTTACCTTCTTTGTGGTCTTTTAGGGTGAGTTTGTTTTAATTTTTTTAGTGATTTTTATAACATTATGTATTTAAAAAAATTCAAATAAAAAATTAGTTTAAATTATTTTTGAAAAAAAATGTTATTTTAGATATTTTATCTTTTTATTATAACATTTAAATTAGAAGTTTAAAAAGTCACATAAATTTAAAATTAATTTTGTTATCTTGTATACCTTAGTGAAACAAACTTCATCATAATAATGATTTCATGTAAAATATAGAAGAAGAAAAGTTAAAATGTGATTGTATATTCATTTACTAACGGGCACCAAAATATTACAATGTGATTGTATTGATTCCCTTAGTCACCTGGGCCCTTAGTGAACGTACAAGCCAAATAGAAGTAACTCATTTAGAACAAAATACTACAATTTAATATCCCTCAAATTAGAATGGATGCAATTTAAGCCAAGTTGTATGACACGGGCATAAAAGGGTCCAAAATGTAGTGCTTTTATAAAAAAATCAGCCAAACTGGTTTGCAGAGTTAATTTTTGCACCTCTTTATATTAAATTACAGTTTATTGCTAAACATTTCCCTAACTTCTATTGATGTTTCTTTAATTGTCTCTGTATCTTTTCTTTCTTTTAGAATGCAACATTGAATAGTTCAAGCGGCCACTCCTTTAAAAATGTTCAGAACTGGATAATTTAATTGCATGTAAAATGCGTTAAATTCATTCAACTCTTAAATCAGTCCTCCCGCCTGTAATTGAAGTCAATAATATTACAAATATCATTTTACTGTCAAACATAGAAATGGTGAGAACAAACAAAGTAAGTGGTCCTTTGGTGATACAGTCTTCAACAACCAGCTTGCAGCTCTCACAATGAAGTGATTTCCAGTTTCTTTCTTCAATACTAGGCTGTCAGTCAACGACATAGTTAGGAGCTACAGCCAAAATTCGATCATTTCTAGCTGCAGACTCAGTTTGTTCTGCACCACCAGCTTCTGCTGCAGCTTGTCTCCCATCATCTACCACTATCAAATGCCCCTCTCTTCGAATTAAAATCTACAATAAAATGTTTGATTTAATTAATATGTCTGTCTACACTAAATTCATTTCTTTGAAAGAGAAGTATAAAACAAGTATATACCTCTATAATTGCTTTAATTTGGGAAACTTCAGTTTTCGCCTCCTCTATGGAACTGTAGTTATTTTTCTCATTTTGCTGGTCTACATACCATTTAATCAAATCTCGTTGCCTCATCCCAGCCAAGTCACTTCCTGCAATAAATAAGCCCACAGAAAATTCAAATTTCTATATGATCACATTGAGTACTTTGTAGTATCCCTGACAAATGTTTATATAAATTAATCTTAACGTAAGCCAGACCAAGGGTATTCAGAGTTTGAATAAATTAAAGAACTTAAACTTTACACGGCAATTTAAATGATCAAAACTTTGATAATGTTAAGATATTGTATAGACAAGATTCAAGTAAAAACCTTGTTGCACTACAGTCTCCTCATGTTGTCTAAGCCGGATGACAAGGGCCTTGGTAATCCTCTGAAAGTATTCATCAGTTACAGTTGATTTCTTTCTTTGTGGGTTAGATCCATCCGCTGGATTTTCTGCAAAGTAATTAAACCTATGAATAATTAAATTGCATCACATAGATGACTGCAAGGCACAATTGGTAGGAGTCACCTCACCATTATCACCGTTAGTTCCATCATCATTATTATTATTTCCATCACCACTGCCTGCTTCTTCCTCCCTATCTTGATCTTGAAACTCAGATAGATCAATCTCACTGGACTCCACTCTGCAAGGAATAAAAAATAGAATGAGTAGTTATAGCCAAAAGGTAACTCCCAAAGTAGAAATTTAAAACAAACAAGAAATATGCCTTACCTTATTATAGATGTTTGCAGCAGTTTTACTGCTACGCGAACATGGCGAGGTTGCACCTGCAATAAAATCAGAAAATCTTCTTTAAACCAAGGAAGGAAAACACTTACAAATGCCTAATGGCCAGACCCTACAAACTATAAACACCTGATTATCCAAATGACACCGTGCAATGGCCTCTGACAGCCTGATTAAAGCCTCCAACTGCCTAACAGTCATACGATATGCAACCCTACTGCCAGGATTTGTATCAGCCCTACGGAGAGCAACATAAGAATCTACCAGTAGTTTTCTTGCATCTGACGTTAGCTGCATTAACCAGGTTAAGTGAGAAATAAGCACAAAGGTAAAATTGACCCCATGCAGCTTGATCAATAAAAGTGTTCAAACCTTAGGTTTAAGAGTTTTTGCATAGGCTATATAGCGTTTTAGTTCTGCTGTAGTGAATGTTGGAGAAAGAGCGTCTTCACGCTTTTGATGAACCCGCACAATGTGAGAAGCTATGTGGTAATCTGTATTATCGTCTGGGTCATCAATCATAATGTATACAAGATCAAACCTTGAAAGTATAGCCGGTGGAAGAGCCACATTGTACTGCAACAATAAAAGAGAGAAAAAAAAACTAAATAAGGTCATGCTGTACTCATTAAGGCAATTAATAGCCAGATTAGCCGAACATGTTACCTTCAATGGCTTAGACTTATCATACCGTCCTCCAGCAGGGTTGGCAGCAGCAAGAATGGAAGTCCGAGCATTGAGGGTTGCTTGTATTCCTGCTTTCGTGATACTAATAGTTTGTTGTTCCATAGCCTCATGAATTGCAACCTTTAATGGAATCAAATATGAGATATAACCCAGTCTATGAACATTTAAAGCCATTCGAAAAATGTATGTCTCTTACCTGATCTCTTATGTCCATCTTGTCAAATTCATCAATGCAGCAAATACCATTGTCAGCAAGCATCAAAGCACCAGCCTGAAAACGAGGACTTACATAAGAAAACAAAGACATGTTTCTTAATACCAACTCCTTTGGAATTTGTATATAACCAAGGAAATTCCTCTCAAGTCATGTTTCATAAATTCTAACTACAACATGCAATTTTTTTAGAATGCTTAATTCATAATTTCCAGCAAGTACTTTCAAGCCAACACAGCTCTAATCCTATTATCGTGCTTTCTCAAGTAATTGGGACAAACAATAGCATTAGTTTTATCTAATTTAAACTAGGACACATTAGGGATGTGCCAGTTTAAATTTGCCAAACCAAAGACACAAAAACACAACTTAAGATAAATAATAGATGTTTGTGAACAGTATGAATTTTTTATCTTTTTCCTAGGCTAATCTATCCAGCTGCTTATACTAAGAGCGCAGATATTTCTAAACTTCCAGTAAGTACAAGACAGATTATTGACCTCAATACAAAACTCCCCAGTTTCTGGTTCCTTGGCAACAGTTGCAGTCAAACCAGCAGCAGATGATGATTTACCAGATGTGTATACAGATCTTGGAACAATGCTTGAAGTATACCTGAAATGATAACCACACATAATCCATTCAATTCGCAATGATAACCATACATAACCCATTCAATTCGCACAAACCAGTGAAAGTAATCAAAGAAAAAGAAAAAGGGTAGTACTTTAGAAATTGAGACTTTGCACAGCTAGGATCTCCAACAATGCAAACATTTATGTCTCCTCTAAGGCTGATGCCTTCATGAGTAGATTTATGGACCCCACTCATAAGCATAAGAAGGATTGCCCGCTTTATATCTTGATGACCAAAAATAGTAGGAGCAACACTCTCAACAAGTTTTGTGAAGAAATCTGGGGTGTTCCGCATTCGTTGAACTTCATCCAGTTCCTGTTGCTGTTAAATACCAGCCAAATATAAGGCTAATTATTTCTCATTTATATCAAAAGATTTGACAAATAACATTATGTATGTGCTCAGAATGTGTGCTTAAGAAATATGAACAGTTAAGGACAGCAGCTAGCGGTGATAAAAAAAAAATCAAATGCCAGCAATGAAGCACGGACATGATATGAGTATCGGAGTATCGGATACGATACATATCCAATACAGCATACGGCAATATGTTATTAATTGAAAACTACAAGATACAATACGTTTAAGATACTTATATAAAAATTAAAATTATATATTTAGTTAAATCATAATCTAGCAAAACCAAATTCATAAGATTAAAGTAATAACTAAATTATGATTTTTTTAGTGAAAAAATGTGTAATATGAAGAAGTAACAAAGAGGTTGTAAGTTATAATATTAAAAAGTTATAAGGTATTTAGAACTTTCTTGTAAAAATAAAAGTAATTATACGTACAAAAGAAGGAAGCTATAACTAATATGAATTAAATTTAAAACATTGGCAGCAACAAATTATGAGAAATTAAATCATTCTTGAAAAATGATACAGCGGGGTTTTTGAAGTATCCGTGCTTCATAGGTTGCCAGAAATAATTACATACTATTGATAAATACAACAGGATTGGTGATCAACCTAAACTATGTGTAAAGCTATCACAAAAATATTCATAATCATAATATAAACTGACAATATGAATTCAAAATCAGATGGTGACATAATAATGCAGAGGTAATATTCAACTTACAGAAAATGGCTGATCATCTTCCTCTGAATCCTTCTTCCTATTCCTGATGTCTATTTCTTTTCTACCATCACATATCTGGAACAAACCGTTCAGAAAACACATCAATCACAAAAACCAAAATTACATAATAAAATTTTTAACATACTAGTAACAAAAGACAAATAACCAACCTGAACAGAGTTGGCAATAAAAGCTAGACGATAAGAGAGGTCTCTGACTCCCAAAGCTCTAAGGCCCCTCACACCTTCATTTCCAGATGAAGAGCCCTTGCGTTGAGAAGCTTCCCTACGACATTCTGATCTCTCTCCAGGGGATGCCAATGCCAATATATCAGGTATGACAATTACAGTGCCAGTAAAAATCACTCTGCGAGGGGACAGTTTGTGGTTTGATTATTGAGTTGGTAAAGTTGAAAAAGTTAACATTACGATAAAATTTGAACATTACAAGCAAATAAGGGGCAAGAAAAGTCTTACGTGTCACCAGCCCTAGCATGTTCCACAATCTCATGACGGAGAATAACATCCAACGACCTAGGCAAAGAACCCGCAGGTATCTCTTTGGAGGTCTCCTGCATTCTTACCCTTTGCCAATCAGTAAATTTGCTCTCTTGGCGCAGCAGAGCCCACCTTGTTCTATTGTTACAGGTGGCATTCGGACAGATTGTTGGCTACAGTGGCACAAACAGAACAATCATACAAAAAATTCAACAAAAAGTAATGAATGATATATAACACAGTAACAAGAAATTAACTGACTATTAACTACCTCAGTATACTTGAATTGTTGTTCAACATTCTTTATAACCCCGCCACATTCTAGACACTTGAAAGTTCCTTGGAGAAGCTCAGGTCGAACCTCACTTGTCCTTGTTACAACTCCTGTTACAGATACAAGCCTTCCAATCTCTGAAGTAGCCAACTCTCTTAACCTGCAGATGTATAAGTTCACCGGTGAACAACTCATCAAACAGAAACACTCAAACTTGATTTTCAATTGCATAAACATACACACTAAATCACAATTCCACATCCTCCATTTTCAATTAAAAATAAGTTAACCTAAAATTAATTAAAATTATATACCTCTTGACAATTGGAATGTTATAGAAGGCAACATTGATGTCCTTGTTAGGGTTATCGTCAGATATAAAGGTCGGCTTGAGCTCCATAACGAACCTCTTGCAAGCATTCTGCAAGTAAGCTTCAAACCTATAATCATCAACAAAGAAAACAATTGTTAGTTAACAAATTTTAGGGTTTCAATGACTTCAATAAAAATCTAACTGAAATAAAATGTAACAAAAAAAACCTCAAATATTCATCAGAGATAGCTTTCTGAAGAAGATCACTGAATCTGATGACATGCTCGAAATCGATAAACATGGTGTTGGACTCGTTAGCTCTCATCACCTCAATCTCCGCTTCGTAATACAGTTCATTCCGCTGTCCAGATCTGAAACTGGTGATTCAACGCAAACAGAAACAGTCGTTCAGTTAATGATTACAAAATTGAAGAACGAGAAGAAGGTGAAGAAAACGAAGAGTAGTAATAGAGTACCTTTTGAGAAAATCTAAGAAAGCGTTCTCAACCCTAACGGCTTTCTCATCGACCAAGTAACCGCCGAAAGCTTCCATTTTCGCCTAATCAGTTGAGCTTCTGAGAATTGACTATGAACCCTAACTTCCACTCGGTGTCTGAAGTTTGAGATTTGATTTCTGAGTTCTTCTAGATATTCCTAATGAACACGAACACTTGAGTGGCGGGAAATTATACAAGGTAGCAACTCTTCCCGCCAAAAATACTGGGCTTGTTGACGGGCCCAATATTTACGGCCCATTATTCGATTTTTGTCGGCCCATTATGATTATCAACTAGCAGGGAATTATATTTGACAAGTTTCTTAATCCACCCCTAAAATATGGGAAGTTTATTAGAAAAATTCCTACTCAAAATATATTACATTATTCTAATAGTATATTTTTACAGATATGAGCATAGTAGACGTGGCACTCCATGTAATATTACTATGTTCACATGGAATTATTTTAATTTATTAAACATTATTTATCTATATTTTATTCTTATAATTATATAAAACAATCTTCTTTTCTCTTCTCTAAACCCTAGCCAGTTCGCCTCTTTCTCTTCTCCCTCTCTCTTTTTCTTGCTCAAACTCTCCAAATCTGGAATTTTGCACGACGACAACAAGTTCCTTGTAAATCTGGATATTTGCAATAATCCCAAATGAAAGATGCTGTTTGGATTTCAAAGTTTCAGTTTTTATGGTTTTTTCTTCAGATCCGGCAAATTTGTCTTGTAAATCTAGAATTTTGTTTTGCACAGTTGCACATGTTGGTATAAAGGCAAAGTTTCATTATTTACTTTTATATTTTGCAGGAAGAAAATTTAACTGTCATAGAAGATTTTTGCTCAGATGATAAAAAATGCATTCTCATTCCACATTTGGTACTTTTAGTTTATGAATTTTTGTTTTAGTTTTCATGACTTTTCAACTTGATCCATTATTAGTTTATGATTTTTTTTTTTGTTTTTTTGAATTTTCAATTTGGTACTATTATTATATTTGTAGCATATGCTTGGTTTGGTTCATTTTCATAATTGGTTGTGATGCAAGTATTAGGATCCGAATTAAATGGTCTTTTTAAAATCTTATATGATGTATAACAATTGAGCTTGAGAAATACTCAAATGATAAAATAGAAGGATAATACATACTGCGGGAGTAAATTGCAAGAGAACATACTGGGTGAAGAAGAGAAGAAGAAACTGGCAAACAAAGAAGTTGTTGCATTACTAATGGAAGTGAAGAGTCAGCCTCTTGAGGAGATGTGGAAGACTTCACAACCTTTAATCTAGCGGTCCTTAATAATGTTTTGGGGGTGGATTTGGAATGATATTTTCTTTTTTTTTTGGTTAATGTGATATGAAAATGAATTTGTTGTAAAGCTTATTCAATGTGTTCTTTGTGGTTATGTGGAAGATTTACAAAAGTTTAAGTATAAAAATGACTGTTTTTATTAACTTACAGGAGAACAATTGTAATATTATTTTTACACAATTTTAACAATTTGAGGGGTTTTTGACCTCCTTAAACAAACCCCGCAGTTTAAATAAAATATATCACTGACGTGATATGACAACAAAACATGTCCGAATTAAAACATGTCTGAATTAATATATATATATATATATATATATATATATATATATATATATATATATATATATATATATATATATATATATTGTTCTGGACTGGGCCCGACATGCCCAAAAGCATTACTAAGGCCCAGTCCAATGGGACTCACCAAGGACCACAATGGGCAAAGGCCCAATCCAATGGGACTCACTAAGGACCACAACGTCCATGCCCGACACCCTGATGTCCACCTCGACATCTCAGTGTCCAGCCCACGCTACGAAGCCACGCTCAACAGACTGCCGTCCAGCTCTATGCCCTGGCTTCCAGCTCGACATTCGCTGTCCAGCTCGGGGTCTTGGCGTCGAGGTCGACACCATGCTGCACTGCTCGACATGGACTCGAGCTACCTTGCTAGGGCAGACTTAGTCCTCTATTGCCCCAACGATACTCCGTAAAGACCGCGTCTCTGTCCGCCCGCACCTCACGCAGCACCTCCAGGAAGGGGACCACGTGCTGATCCCCACTACCCACGTAGAACCTGGCAGTTCCTCCATTGGGCCAAATCCGCCCGGCCCAATGAAGGAACCTTGGCCCAGCGCTGGGGGCTATAAATACCCTCTGTTTCCAGAGGGTCAGGTAATCATCATTTCTAACCTCAACTCCATTATCTGCTAGTACTCCCACTGACTTAAGCATCGGAGTGCCTTGCAGGTACCCCCCCCCCCTCCTCGTTCTAAAAAGCCTTCAGCTCGGAGCAGCCGTGACGGTCCAAACCTTCTGATCAGGTCAGATCAGTGGCGCCGTCTGTGGGAAACAGCTTCCCCGTCTAACGAACAGTTTTCAAAGACCAAAGCTCAATCCATTCACTGTCATGGCCTCTCCAACTCGTGAAGAACAACACTCTCGCGTCCTCGACGCCAACAACGGTCCCGCGGACAAGAATGGGCACCTGGACAATCCCAGTGGCGCCGGCCACAATGCCGCCCCCCTGACAACCGCCCCTGGACCTTCCACCCGCAGGGACGGGAACACTGCGTCCTCCTCGACAACTCCTCCAGGACTTGAAGACGATCCGGAGGCCCTCGCCTATCGCCAGGCTGCCCGGTTCTATGAAGTCCAAGCCCCTGCCGGGGCAGATGCCACAGCTCAGGCACTGTTCGCGGCCATCAACCAGACGAACTATCTCCTGTTCGCGCAAGGAGAAAGACTTAGGGCGCTGGAAAATGATCGACGCCCCCCGAGGAGGCATCAAAGGCCACCATCTCCACTTCCTCGGGTCGAAGAAGTTCGACACCCTACTCCCCCGCGGAGACAGTACAGGGAACACTCTAGGAGCCCCTCTCCCGCACCAAAGCAGAGGCGGCCCCAGTATGAAAGACAGCCCGTCATTCCTGCCGAAGAGCCCGTTCGCGACCCATCAAGGCACGACCGGAGGCACAACAGAGACGGACATGTGACCTTCGCCCACCGAACATCACGTTCAAGGGAATCCCAGCACGAGCAACGTGCCCGACACAACTACAGGACCCTTTCTCTTTCTCCAGAAAGGAGCGACGAGGACGACCCCCGCGGTCCCCTGTCGCAGGCAATCATGGACGCACCTATCCCCCCGGGCATGGAGAAGCCCCCACACCTAAAGGAGTATGATGGAGTGGCGGACCCAGTCGACCACATTGACGGGTTCGAAGCCATGCTCCACTATCACAATGTCGGGGGTCCCATCAAGTGCCGCCTCTTCCCAACAACTCTCAGGAAGGCGGCCATGGACTGGTACAAGGGACTTGCCCCGGGCTCCATCACCTCGTGGAGGAACTTGAAGAACCAGTTCATCAGCTCCTTCACAGCGTCTCGTCGCCATCCAAAGACTGAGGCAGCCCTCGAGGCCATCATTCAAAGGCATGATGAGACCTTGAGGGAATTCATCAACCGCTTCAACCGGGAAGCAATACAGGTCCCCTGCGCGGACCACATGAAGAGGTATTTGCTGGAGAGGGGCCTCCTCCCCGGCACCGAATTCAGGAAAGCTGTAGGCATCGAGCCACCTGCAACTTTTGATGCTCTCCTCGACAAAGCCCGAGCATATATGGACTACGAGGAGAGAGAAGCTGCCAACAGGGCACGAGACTCCAGGGCTCGCAACCACGGCAGCAGCTCGAGACATGACCCTCCTCCCCGACGCACCGGAGAGAAGAGGAAGGAAGACAGACCCCGGGAGGTCCGGGAACAAAGGGGCCCCTCGGGCAGGTTTACTGAGTACACTCCGCTCACGGCTTCCCGCGAGCGTATTCTGGCGGAGTGTGCAAGCACAGATTTCAAGGACGGTGGCGTCAAGCGTCCCCGACCAGCTCCTGCCAAGCCAGGAGTAGATAAAAACAAATACTGTCAGTACCATAGGAGTCATGGTCACTTGACAGAAGACTGCGTCCACCTGAAGGATGCTATTGAAACCCTCATCAAAGGAGGGAGACTGGCACAGTACAGAAGAAACGACGCTCCCCGTCGTGAAGCCCGCGAGGAAAAGGAGCCCGAAGAAGATGCCCGACCATCTGACGAGTCGGTGCCAATCCAGACCGCCTTCTCGATAACCAGGCCCGAGGATTTCGAACTTCCCGAGCTCCTGCAGGAGCCCCTGACTACACACAGCAGGTGGGAATACTTCCCCTCCGCCATGGTCATCAACGGGGGCGGGTTCAGCGACCTCACCATCAACTCAGCCAAGAGGAAGTTGGACGAACTGGTCGACAAAGCTCCCCCTCAAACTGTGACTTTTGAAATGGTGAGGGGCAGATCAGAGCCTATCACATTCTACTTGGAAGAGCTTCCCGGCGGAGCACCGAACGCAGTCATCCCCTTGCTGATAAGAGCGAAGATGGCCAATTTTGACGTGCATCGCATCCTGGTCGACGAAGGGAGTTCCGTCGACGTGATGTACACCCAGCTGTTCCGGACCTTACAATTGGACGACTCCCATCTGTCTCCATATATAGGTTCGGATCTTCAAGGCTTCAACGGCTCGACGTCCAAACCTTGGGGATATGTCGAGCTCCTCGTGACATTCGGGGAAGGAACTGCTACAAGACAGGTGAAGGTCCGCTTCCTCGTCATTGACTGCCCATCCCTGTACAATTGCATCTTGGGAAGGCCGACATTGGCGGAACTGACAGCGGTCCCCTCAACTGTCCACCTAAAGATGAAGTTCTATACCAAGAGAGGGAGGGTAGCCACCATCCAGGGCGACCTCGCTGCTGCCCGCCGGTGCTTCAACGCCGCTTCAAGGGGTCGGGATACTGTCGACGTGGGTCCCAGCACTAGGCCCATCAAGAAGACAAAGCAAGAGCCCGACACAGCATCTCCTGAAGTAGAGGTTCAGAAGGCTCCACCAAAGGTCGACTCCATTGCGCTCGACGCCCGTTTTGACCAAGATGAACCGGCCAGCAGCGAGCAAATCCCCCTCCGACCTATTCCGGACGGTGATTTCGAACTCGTTCCCCTCGGAGCAGACCCGACCAAGGGGGTGAAGATCGGCAAGGACCTCCCCGACTTGGCCAGAAAGCAGATCAAGGCCTGTCTGCGCGAGAATGCTGATCTCTTCGCCTGGAGCGCTGCAGAGATGCCCGGACTCGACCCTGAGGTCGCCTGTCATCACCTCGCCATTGATCCAGCCGCCAAGGCAGTAGTACAACGTAGGCGTAGGCAGTCTCCAGAAAAAACGGAGGCTGCTGAAAAAGCTGTAAAAGACCTCTTAGAGGCAAATTTTATTTCTGAAGCCCGGTATTCCACCTGGCTGTCAAATGTTGTACTTGTCAAAAAGAATAATGGAAAATGGCGTATGTGTGTTGATTATACCGATCTCAATCGGGCTTGCCCGAAGGATGCTTTTCCTCTACCGAACATTGATATGCTGGTCGACAACTCGGCCGGCTACAAAACTTTGTCGTTCATGGACGCTTACTCGGGATACAATCAAATCCCAATGGCTCCGGGCGACAAACGCTGCACGGCGTTCATGACCAGCTCGGGCAACTATTACTACAACGTAATGCCCTTCGGACTAAAGAATGCCGGCGCGACGTACCAACGCATGATGAACAAAGTGTTCAACAAACAGATCGGCGACATGCTCGAGGTATACATGGACGACATGATCGTCAAATCTCGAGCAGACACCGATCACGCAGCTCATCTCAAGACTGTCTTCGCCCAAGCAAGACAATGCAAAATGAGGTTCAACCCCGAGAAGTGCACATTTGGGGTTAAGGCAGGGAAATTCCTCGGGTTCTATCTAACAGAACGAGGGATTGAAGCCAACCCCGACAAGTGCCGGGCATTCGCCGACCTTCCGACTCCAACGTCGAAGAAGTCGATACAGATAATGAACGGCATGTTGACATCACTTTCGCGCTTCGTCGCGAAGTCCGCTCAGCACGCCCTTCCCTTTTTCAAACTCCTTCGAAAGGAAGCAGCCTTCGAATGGACCGAGGAATGCGAGCACGCACTCCGCCACCTGAAGCAGAGCCTATCTCAACCGCCCGTACTCTCTCGACCAGATGACAACGAGCCACTTTACCTATACTTGGCAGTTTCAAACGAAGCCATTAGTGCAGCTCTTGTCCGCGAGACTCCAGACGGGCAGAAACCTGTCTACTTCACGAGCAAAGCCTTACAAGGCCCCGAGAGCAGGTATCAACAGATAGAAAAGGTTGCACTGGCCCTC